CTTATAGGTTACAGTTCATCACTGAAGAGAGCCAAAGTAGAAACTCAAACAGGGATGGAACTGGGAGACAGGAATCAAGTAGAGTCCATGGGAGAATGTGACTTACTGGTTGATTCCCATGGATTTCTCAGCTTTTTTTTTTTCTCTATAACCCAGGACCAATTTCCCAGAGCTGAAACAGTGCTCAGTATGCTGGGTCCTTCCACATCAATCATTTAATAAGAAAATACACCATTGAGTTGCTTAGAAGACAGTCTGACAGAGATGAAGTTCCCTCTTCCCAAATGACTCTGCCTTCCATTAAGTTGATAAGCACCTAATGAGTATCATGAGAGATTAGAAAACATCCTGACAGGGCCCTAGAAGCACAGATCAGCAACAGTGAGTAAATTCCCTGTAGATGCAGAGCGACTGAACAGGTATCTGTGGTGCTGACTAGCAGGAAGCTGTGAGGTAAGCCTGTAATTCAAGGGTAACATTGCAATCAAGATAAAAGCTTCTACTTTGATGGTGTGTAGTCACCAACTAATTTTGATCTATTACTTGGTGATATGACTTTAAAGAGGAGACAAAATTTTATATTTCTTTTGTGACCCTTTCCACATTATGAATAAAGTGGCAGCCTTCATTTTCATAAATTATCCTAAATACTCTTGTTTTTATAATACTTTCCCTAGACCTCATTCAGACTAACCTTTTGCCTAGCCTTGTCAAAGATACATAGCGAGAGCTCCATAGATCTTTCCAAAAGATTATCAGTGTCATTTTCTTCTTAACAGTGGTTATGAGTAAGCATGTCCTCTGTGGGTGTGTTTGCCATGATGCTTAAGGCCAGGCTCAGGTTTCATTTCTCAAAGACTGTCTGTCTTTAGTCTTCTAAAAGACTCAAATGGAGAGCAGCCTTTGCTGCCCTTGCGGCAGCTTCTTGGCTATTGCTTTACTTTCTTTCCTGTTGCTGTGAATAAAATCTCTAACAAAAGCTACTTAAAAGAAATAGGATTTATTCCAGGAATCAATTCAGGGGCACAGTCCATGTTGTTGGGGAAACCATAGTTGATAGCAGCCCTGGGGAGCTGGTCACTCCTTAACTGCAGTTAAGTAGAGGGACAAAGGTAGGAGTGAGAGCAATTACTCCATTTGATGGTTTGGGATTCCTGTCAAGAGAATGGTGTTGCCCACACTGGGTGAGTCTTCCCACCTCAATTAACACAGACCAGATAGTTTCCCACAGGTATGTACAGAGTCCAGTCTCTAGGTGTTTCTAGTTTTGGTCAAGTTTACAGCATGCATTATCATTACTATTTCACTGTGTTCATTACCCTATTAAGTGAAACATTTTATAACTTTCTTTTGTGAAACATCAAACACAGCTCAAGAAACTAGAACAATGACATCAGGAAACTTCAGGAAATTGGACCTCTACTATATTATCTGTTACTCGAATTGTCCACAACCAACCTAGAAATTATATTTGTCCTGGGGAAGATTGTGTGTCAGTGTGGTGTACAAGGTAGACTCGGTTGGGACATAAAAAATCACTTCTGTCTTACTTTCAAATGCATGGATTAAAAGCATACTACTACTCCCAAATCTGACTTATTTTTTTGAGGAAGAGTCTCTTGCTGAACCAGGGGCTTTCCCGTTTTACTAGAATAATTGGCCACCAAAACTAGAAATCTTTTTTCTCCATGTCCTTAGATGTTGGATACAGAAAAGTGATGTCATGCCCAACTTTTTTCTCCCATTGGATATTTTATGTTTTTACACTTCAAATGTTATCTCCTTTCCCACCCCCTCCCAGAATCCCCTATTCCATCCTTCCTCCCCCTGCTTCTATGAGGATGCTCTACCTCCCACCCATCCACTCCCACCTCACCACCCTGGCATTCCCCCTACACTGGGGAATGAATCAAGCCTTCACAGAACCAACAGCTTCTCCTCCTATTGATGCCAGTCAATAAAATCCTCTGCTACATATGTGTCTGGAGCCATGGGTCACTCCATGTGTACTCTTTTGTTGGTGGTTTAGTCCCTGGGAGTTTGGAATGTTCTAGTTGGTTGATGTTGTTGTTCCTATGGAGTTACAAACCCATTCAGCTCTTTCAATCCTTTCTCTAACTCTTCCACTGGGGACTCCATGCTAATCTCAATGGTTGGCTGAAAGCAACCACCTCTGTATTCCTCAGGCTTTGGCAGAGCCTCTCAGAAAACTGCTATAACAGGTTCCTGTCAGTAAATGCTTCTTGGCATCTGCAATAGTGTCTGGGTTTGGTGTTTGTTTATGGGATGGATCCCCTTGTTGGGAAGTCACTGATTGGCCTTTCCTTCAGTCTCTGTTCTACACTTTGCCCCATATTTCCTTTAGGCAGGAACCCTTCTGGGTTAAGAATTTGGAGATGAGTGGGTGGCCCTGTTCCACAACTTGGGACCTTTCCTAAGTCTTGGAGATTTAATCTCATGCCTTCATGCTTAGGTGGCAAATACTTTATTGACTGAATCATCTCCCTGATCTTAAAACTAAGACTTACAGAGAAGGCTAGAAGTTTTGGAATTATGGGACTTTATGTGTAAGAAAATTATGTTGTTGTTATATAAGCACAGGTGTTATGGACATTAATCATACTTCCAGTTGGCTTGATTAAACCATTACTAGAAATCCTTTAAGTTTTGGTGTAGTTTTGTTTGGTAAACTCTATAACATTATAACACTGGCAACGAAAGAGGCCTATAATGCTTGTTGGCCAGACAGTACCAGAAGACTGCTTGTCTCTAACTCTCCAGTGCTAAAATTGTTGATACAAGTCAACATATTTTCATATTAGTTCTAATCCTCAACCTCAGGTTCTCATGCTTGGACAGCTAGTGACAGAACCATCTGACTAACTCCAGTTTTCAAGTGGAAAAAATTTTTTTGAGTTACCATATTTTTTTCTTTTAATGGTTACTGATTTTTCTTACCCTTCCATACCTACTGCTTTCTTTGAAAATTTTCGGTCATCTCCTTAACTCTTATGCACCGTGTTTTATGCAGAAACAAGATATCTGGCAGTGTATCTGCCATATTCTTTAGTCAGACACTGACTGTTAGCTTATCTGGGCTTTTGAATAGTCAAGAAAGTTGATATATTTATATTAAAAAACTGCATAGAGCAGCCACATCTGTTCAGAAGTTTTACAACAGTTGGCGGAGGGGGCTGTGGCACATGATGTGTATGTGTTCACCTTTTTCCATGTATGCATATGGAGGACAGAGGTTGACATAGGATATCTTCGTATATTGATTTACATATTATATCAAGAGTTGGGTTTCCTACTTGACACTAAAATGAGTGTAATTTGTTTTCTAGCTAGTCATCTTTCTCTGGAGGTTTCTTGCCTCCGATTCCTGGATGAAAAGATCACAAAAAGGCTATCTTGCTTGCCTGGAATATTTAGTATTACATGTACACCCAGGATACAAACTCTATTCTTCATACTTGTGCAGCCAGTGCTTTAGTGACCCTTATCCTGACTACTTGACTTGAAAGATTTATGTCTGAGACTACCAATACCCACACCCAGAATTTGTTTCCTTCTATAGTCATATGACATTCTTTTTCTGTGTTTGGTTCTAAAATAATCAGTTTGTGTCAAACATGTAAAGAAAAGAAACAAAACAGGAGTTAAAATAAACTGATTAAAGAATCTCAAATTTATGCTCATGAAATACCTTTTTAAATAAGCAAACTAGGCTTATATATAAATATGGACTCAAGTGTCTATGTTGAGATGACCTTTTGTTGTCTCTGTGCATTGCTCCCAAATGCACCTTGCTATAAGTCAGCCCTTATTATTCTAGGAATGTTAGATTGTTTTCATTTCCCAAATGTGCCTTTTCTCTCACAGAAATACACCATTGATTCTTTCAGTGACCCTAGACAAATTACTTTGTAGAGAGTTGACTTATCCACATGATGGCCCATTACCATCTATATCATCACTTCTAGGGAATCCAACACCCTTTTTAGATCTATCTACAAATATGTAGGCAAGGATTCATACTCATAATATGAGAAAAATACATAAAAATGACATATTCAGAAGCAAGGCAAGATACAAAATGAGAGAAGAGTGTTGGCAGAGAATTTCCAAAGCTGTGCTACTCCACAGGATATGGGAGATAGATATAAATGGGGAAAAGTGAGGGGTGGGGAAGTGAAGTGCTTTACTCGGATTTGGGTAAAGGAATTGCATACTGGTATGTAATAACTAGAAAAAGTCTTTGAGATGGCTTTCTCTAAAGCCATCTAAATAAGTAGAATTCCTTGTGTGTTAATTGAGAGGACATTAGTCTTTAAACCCTGTTCTGTTTCTGTGCATTAAGATAGTTTTCCCGGCCACCACCAAAAAGAAACACAGACAGAACTGGGCAGTGGTGGCTCATGCCTTTAATCCCAGCACTTGGGAGGTAGAGGCAGGCAGATTTCTGAGTTTGGGACCAGCCTGGTCTACAGAATGAGTTCAAGGACAGCCAGGGCTATATATAGACACCCTGTCTCAAAAAAAAAAAAAAGAAAGAAAGAAAGAAAGAAAAAGAAAAAGAAAAAAGAAAAAAGAAAAGAAACATAGGCAGTACTCTCCAGTATTGCTAGTTTGGTTTTTTGTTTGTTTTTTTTGTTTGTTTGTTTTTGTTTTTTGTTTTCTATTTCATTTCCTTAAAAAGAAACCATACTTTCAAATGTAAGTTTCAGCACTTTTGTGCCTCGATAAACATACCATTCCCACTCCCATTCAGCTGTCTGTGTGAGAGCACTGAAGCTTTCACTCAAAGTTGTAATTTAGCTATGAGATCGCAACTATACAGTAGGAGAAGGACATTCCTATGGTTCTCATATCATTTAACTCTGACAGTTATAGGACTTTAGCAGCTTCATTTCACAGTGTTTCTGGCAATGCTTTTGCTTGCCTCTCTATTTTAACTGTCTTGGCTTATTAGTTTTTTTTTTATTACCTCCAATTAGGTGTTTGCCAAACTACTGTGAACATGGAGGACACTGTATCCAAACCTGGACTACCTTCTACTGCAACTGTAGTGAAACTGGTTACACAGGAGCTACCTGCCATGACTGTGAGTATATACAGTGTGCCCACAGTGTATGGGCACAACTCCAGGAAAACAGTGTAGAAGCCTTGACTGTTCACCATGGTCTGGGCACTGTTTATTCCTTTAGCATGAATTATCAAATAGGGTGCAATATCACAAATACTGAAGCAGGGAGGAGAAAACCATGGAGATAAGACATGACTTTATGGAGTTCATGAGAATAGGGCAAAGTGAAGTAGGATATGTGCTAAAGTGAAAGGGAGAATGGTGCTCTGTGTACGTAGGGAGCTGTGCAACAAAAGGCATTGTCTTGATGGCTTGAGTTGTACTGCTGCAACAAGTAACTCATATATATCACTGGTCAAGTGACAAGTGGCTTGATGTCTGTCATAGCTATTTTCCTGTTCCTATGATAAAGAACACTCTGACCAAAACAACTTAAGAGACAAGGGATTTATTTGGGTTTGCAGTTCCAGAAGGGTATGGTTCATCATAAAGGACAAAGACATGGCAAGAGATAAGGAAGACAGAACAGAAATCCTGACAGATTACTTTGTATCCACACTGAGGAAACAGAATAAGTAAGAAATGATATAAAAGCTGTACAGCTTCAAGTCCTGCCCCCAGTCACCCATTTCCTCCACTGAGGTTCTGCCTCTTAAAGATTCTGCTACCTTTCCAAACAGCACCACAAGCCAAAGATCAATGTTAAAACAAATTTATTGGAGACACTTTACATTCAGGCTACAACATGGCTACGCTATAAAATCACATTAGCGGCCCATCTTGCTCGTTGTATTGTTCTCATTATGGCAGAGGTGACTTCTGAATGTTGTTGTGACCACAGGAAGGAAACACATGATGAAGAAATAAGACTATGTTTTATTCAAAAGCATCTCCTGAAAATTTGGTTGAACATTCTTCTGATCACAACCATTGGCCAGATACTTATGTCACCCAATGAAAGGCAAAGTATGTTCAGACTATGGGAAGTAGTGAGACTAGAAAGCAAGAATAATGACCATAAACGTTGATGAATATCTGTCAATGCTGGGCATACATGAAGCTTCAGACTGAAGCCCTGGAGTGATCGTGTCCAAGTTATAGAAAGAAAACAAAAAGAAGAAGGATTCTTGGAGTAATGGAGGAAGTGGATCCACAAGTGTAATGTTCTGTGGAGAAACTGTGAAGGACCCAGGAGTTAGAGTGGAACACTGCTGATAGAGAGAGTGAGGAGACAGTAGAATGGAACTGGGCTGGGACATCTGGACAGGAGATATATCCACTTTCCTTTGGTTAGCATAATTTCATCCTTGTTCAGGACTGAAAATAATTTCATCATGTGTATGAACTGCATTTTCTTTAGCCGTTCCTCTGCTGGCAGAGCCATTGGAAAGTTCTATGATTTAGCTACTATGAAAGGTGCTGCAAACAATAATGATGTGCAAGTGTTTATGGGATGCTGACATATGGTTCTTTGGATAAACATCCAGTAATGGTGTGACTGACTTATCTGGTTTGTTTATTATTCAATTTTCAAGCCATCTTCTCTCATTTCTTGGGTTGTAGATTGTATTAGATGCATGAAGATGAATGAAATTTGAAGCAGAATGAATGATCAAAGATACAGGTCATGGCTGACAAGATGTGGCTTCTTGTGTGTGTTTGTGTGTGTGTGTGTGTGTGTGTGTATGTCTGCACATAAGTATATACACATGATCAATTGTATTGATATGGGTGGAGGCCAGATACTGATTTCAGTTGCCAATTTTCTCTCTGTATTTTTCTGAGATGGGGGCTAACTTGGAGCTTATTGTTTTTGATGCACTGTGTGGTTAGCAAGACCTGAAGATCTGGACTATCTACCACCTTCTTCTGGAGTCACAGGCACACAGAATTCTTGCTTAGCTTTTATACGAGTTCTCAGGACAAGATTCAGGGTTTCACGTTTGTGTAGTGTAAGCACTTCCAACAGAACCATCTTCCCACCACCATAAGTTGTATTATTTACATGATTACTCCTCAGCAAAGGCACTGGGTAAAAGAGTATAGTGATTTGCAAAGTCTTATTTCATACCACCCCTTCTTGAAAGGTCTTAAGACAGTGTATACTTCACAGATGTTTTTCTGTGACTTTAATTTCGCTCTTCTATCAAAATCACTTAATGGATGAAACTATTTACCACACCTTTCTGTAGTGCTCTTGGGAAGTCTCAGATAAATAGTGGTTTTGTTTGTTTTGTTTTGTTTTTTCAGGTGACTGGTAGGCCAGAAGAATGATGTTTCCTATAAATTTGCCCTTTATCATTTTACTCCTGTTCCTTAAAGCACATCTGGTTTCAGTAGTTATGGGTTTAATGATTGCTGTTGGCTTGCTAAATGAAAGGATAGATACATACCAGCATCTGTCTGCCTCCTATTGAGTGCTGTTCTTGATCTTAGCGTCTGATTGGTGACATTTATAGGTGACTGTTCAGGACCTCTCCACCAAGTTTCAAGTTCCTCTTATCTCTTCACAGTGTAGCTTGCTGACATCCTAACAAAGCATTTCAAGTTATGTTTCATCTTTACAAAAAGGTGGCAGCTTTCTTCTCTAAAGTCTGATGGAGTGCTGCTAGCTTTGGGCAGTCAATAAGCAGTTATTGAATGGGAGCATATCAAGCTGTCTGGCTCTCAGACTTAACAGTCATCACTGGGCAGAGATGGTTTGCTAGTCCTCTTTAGGGAAACATGCCTTTTTTATCACATTTGGATGATTGTGCATAGTGAGGAAATTTTGACAAAAGAAGAGATTTATTTCAAACTATCTTTCATAACTTTATCTTAAGTCTAACACATATATTGACATCATTATGAGTTTCTTATTCAGATTGTTATTCCTTACTCTCCATGTTAAAAACAAATGGTTCTCAACTACAATTAGACAATAGAAGGGTGAGAAGAAAGGAAAGGAAGTAACAAAATGAAAGAAAAAGGGGTAAGAGACAATGGGGGAAAGGAAGAGGAAGAGGAGGAGAAAGGATGGAGAAGGCAATAAGGAGGAAGAAGGAAAAGAGAGAAAGGATGAATGAAGAAGGAGAAGGAGAAGAAGAAGTAAGAAGAGAGGCCAGTCTGTGTTACTGTGTATATATGTATGTGTGTGCATATATATATTTAGTATATATGTGTACATATATATGAACTCAACATTCTTGTCTTCTATAATTTCTTCCAATAATATTTTAAGACAGAGTCCCTCACTGAACCTCAGGCTTCCTAATTTGCCTATACTAGCAGGACAGCAAGCTCCAGAGATCCTTCTGTTTCTTCCTCTCCAGTGCTACTGTCATAGAGTCACATGCTATACCTGTTTTTTACAGAGTGCTTGACATTGAACTTAGTTTCTCATGCCTGTAGAGCAAAATATTTACTAACTAAATAGCCCATCTCCCTATCCCCTCCAGGACTTAACTATTCTATAACACCTATCTTTAATAGATGACGCAAAACAGAAGTCAGTTTGTGATACTACAAACACCACAATGCTCAGTTACTAGGCTGGGAACACTGTTCCTGGGAAAAGGAGAGCATATCAGAACAAAGGAGGCTTCAGAAGAGACTTGAAGGATGAGAATGAAAGTAATAAGAAGAGGGAGTCAGCGGGATATTTTCATTCAGTAGTAAAGGCTTTTCTTGCTCAAGCATGATGACCTGAACTTGATGCACAGGACCCATTAATTAATTAATAAATTTTGAAGACAGGGCTTCTCTGTGTAGCTTTGACCTTGACCGTCTTAGAAGTCATCCTGTAGCCAGGTTAGGCTCAAATTCACAAAGATCAGTTTCTGTCTCTGGCAGAAAAACAACCATACAAAGGCTGAATAGGTTGGTGCTTAGTCTTCTAACAGCACAGAGAGACTCCAAGGCTTCTAGCCTAACAGGAAACATTAAGGGGTCAATTAGGAAATGCTGGAAGTATGGGCCCAGTGAATAGGGGCTTAACTGATTGGGAAAACCCTGCTGTGTGGGCCAACTAGTGTGGAACCATAGGTTGGTCTTACTTTAATGCTGAGAACAGACTGGCTAGTATTTGTTTCATAGTTCACTGTTCCTTTATCGGTTTCTTTTGGAAAGTATATCTCTGATGATATTGTTGAGCTTGCCTTAAAGTTGGGAACTGTGTAAGTTTGAGATGCTGTATGTTATTTGCCACTCAGAAAGCAGCAAATGGAGGAAGTCATATCATGCTAGGAAGAATAGACCTCATGGGAAAGAAGACTTTAAAACTGGATCTCGAAAAGCTAAAGACAAATTACAGAGAGCACGTGGGAGAAAGGTTTTTGTCTGTCTGTTTGTTTGTTTCCTCAAATTGGAAGGATTCTTAGATGAGGAGGGTGGTGACTGCATCTTTAGGTTTGGCTTGATGTGAGAACGTTATATCAAAATCAGGTTCCCCAGCTCACATTTACTGACCACAATTTAAGAGTCACCTATTTTGTTTTTTGTTTGTTTGTTTGGTTGGTTGGTTGGATTGGGAGGTGGGGTTGGTTGTTGTTATAGTTGTTGTTTTGCTTTGATTTTGTTGGTTTTTAGTGCAGTATTTTCCCAATTTTCATTTTCCTCACATTATACTATACCTTTGTAAACATAGGCAGAACAAAACCAAACAAGTGACTGTTTCCTATACTGTGTGCCTGTTTTTAAAGCTGTCAGAGTCCAATTTAGAAGCTAGAGAGCCCCTCGGCAAGCCAGGGTTGCCCACCCATTTTCAACAAGCTAGTTCAAGAGACAAGTAATAGAAGCATAGAGAGGATAGGATACTTACTCAGTGTGTCCACATAGGGAATAGGAATGTGGAGGGCCATTGACTCCCAAATCCCATCTTCAGGGTCCTGTCAAGAAGTGCAGGTTTAAGTAGAGAATCAGATGTATGGATAACTAAGCAGTCCTAGACAAGGTGAAGAACTGACCTACATTCCTATCTCAGTCTTTCCTGAAAATGCAAAACAGTTTGAAATCTCTGTCCTGGAGACACTGGTTTGTGC